AGGGAAGCTGGAACGACTGCCACCAGGGCCAATATCAGTCTTCTAACTGACAGTATTGAATTTATACACAGTTGTTGCCTCACCAACTGTTTTTTGGCTTTAACAAGCCAAAAGATTGCAGCTTGAAATGTTACCGAGAAACCGTCAATTTGTTATAGAAAACTGATCAACAACTTCTGATGATTCAGAATTGAGATTTCAACAGCGTTCTGGTGTAATGTGACATACAAAAAAAGTCTTAAATTATAGAACTGGGGGAATCTTTTTTAAATCTTTTTGTTTTTTTGTTTTTTTTGCTTAAAATATTCAAAAGCTGGATACTGGTTCTCAGTCCTAGTCTTGGGCATTTCTCTACTTCTTTTCATAACTTCTGTTTAAAAGTTTCATTTCCTAAATTGCCCAAGAACAGTGATGAAACATTATATATCATATGTTTAACTTTTTCCAGCATCATTAATATCCATTCAGCACATCATCATTATCTAATTATGTAATAATATTTAATAGTTATCTGGCCTGCCCTTGGCCATTGTGGTGTATGGAAAAATTATGGAAAATATCACAAATTAATGATCTGCCAGTGGACGCAGAACTACTTACGGCTAAGACTTAGGCCTCATGTTGGGATGATTATGCTTTTGCAGGTGTTAGTGATTTCTTGACATTTAAGCCAGTGTTAATGGTAGCACTGACCCTAAACTGTGTTCTTTTTTTTTTTTAAACTTGAGAATATGATTAGAACCCTTTAGTGGTCATTGGTCGATGCGGAGTAGCTTTTAAAGGTAAGATTAATAATTTATCACATCAAACATTGCTTAGCTTTTAGGCTAGGTTTCGTATGGAAGCCATACTGTCATAAATTATGTATACGTTCACTGTTATTTATATTATACACCACATCCACCTGCTTCGGTCAGTGTGTGTGGAGGAACACGTAAAATTACAGCTTGTCATTAATGGCCTGTCGTGTGTCATATCAATCATGCAATTCACAGTCATTGTGGTCACTGTGTATGTACCTTTTAGCAGTGTAATGCAGTGATGCTATCTATATCTGATAAGTGCTCCAAATATTCATATCTGGATTTAAACATGATGTAGGTGGTGGATGTGGCCTAAACCAAAGGTTTTTTTTGTTTGTTTGTTTTAGTCACATATAAACCCTGATATTTATATGGGTGTGGCCTAACCCAAAGATACAACTACAGTTTTTTAATCCTGCTCACACAGTTAATTTTGTTTGTACCTGCCCATAATGTTTTCTAACCAATTTATTTGGTTCCTTTTCCCAAAGTACTGTATAAACAAACTTGCAGCCTTATTTAAACCACCGTGACCCTGACCAGGCAGTTACTAAGGATGAATGAATGAATGATGTTCATGTTAATGAATGTGCTTTTTCTTTGTTCCATGAGCTAGCAACGAGCCTAGTCCATTTTTTGCACACCTCTAGTTTCAGCCAACCTTTCTGGCTTTCTGTATTTGTATTGGTTTAGAAAGCATTATCTGTTCATTCTGAATAATGTATTCGTATTTGGTTACATCCCGAATGCCTGTGTGTTTGTGTGTGTGTGTGTGTGTGTGTGTTTTAGAGGACATAGAGGCATTTTTTCACATTAAGTGTATGTCCTGAGGCTTTAAATAATACACTACCATAATCAGCAGATGAGGAATATTCAAAAGGGAAGTGTGTGACGTTTCTAAACATACTGCGAGAACCAGACATGCCGGAGATAGCTCAGACATGGCAGTTCTCCATCAGGATGGCTAAAGGAGTGACAAAGCGGGAAAAGGAGAAGCACTATAGAATGAGTGGATGAAACAGTCACTTCAGTGGACTCAGACTTCAGTGTTGTGACATGTCAAGCAGCAGAGCAGAGGCATCCTGCAGCTGTGTGTCGGACTGAGAAGTGATACCGAAGGGGATTTTGAGGTATTAGACCAACAAAATGGATATATGAAGAATCTAATTAAAGCCTATTTCTGAGCAGTTCATGGTGAAAAGCCTTTCCCAAGGTCAAGCGTCTTGGATCACTAGCACCAGACTGAACTACCAAATGAAATATTTCAAAGGGCCAAACCGAGTGCTTGAATAAAAAAAACAGAAGTTGATTATTCTCCTATTAAATGACATCCCGAAGTGTTGTCATAACAACAAACTAGCACAGAGGCCACACCTCCCTCTTTCACTGGGACTTACAAGCAGAGAGGCCATGCCTCCTACCTGGACTGACAGAAACAAAGTCAAAGACACTGAGGCATTGCACAAAGGTCATGTCTCCTTTATTGAGAGTGGCAGGTATACAGGCCACATGTCCTTCACGGAGACTGAAAGGTATATAGACCACACCTCCTTCACTAGGGCTGACAGGTATATAGACCATGCCTCTTTCACTGAGACGGACAGGTATGTTGACCACACCTCCTTCACTAGTGCTGACAAGTATATAGGCCACACCTCCTTCACTAGGACTGACAGGCATATAGAGCACACTTCTTTCACTGAGACTGAAAGGTATATAGACCACACCTCCTTCAATAAGGCTGACAGGTATATAGAGCACACACCTTTTACTGAGATTGACAGGTATATAGGCCACACCTCCTTCACTTGGCCAGAAACATATATAGACCACGCCTCTTTCACTGAGATCGACAGGTATATAGACCATGCCTCTTTCACTGAGACTGACAGGTATATAGACCAGACCTCTTTCACTGAGATCGACAGGTATATAGGCCACAGCTCCTTCACTAGGACTGACAGACATATAGAGCACACCTCCTACAATAGGGCTGACAGATATATAGGCCACGCTTCTTTCACTGAGACTGAAAGGTTTATAGACCACACCTCCTTCAATAAGGCTGACAGGTATATAGACCACACACCTTTTCCTGAGATTGAGAGGTATATAGGCCACACCTCCTTCACTTGGCCAGAAACATATATAGACCACGCCTCTTTCACTGTTTTCGACAGGTATACAGACCACACCTCCTTCACCAAGGCGGACAGGTATATAGACCACGCCTCTTTCACTGAGACTGACAGGTATATAGACCAGACCTCTTTCACTAGGGCTGACACATATATAGACCACACCTCTTTCACTGAGGCTGACAGGTATATAGACCACACCTCCTTTACTATGGTATATAGGCCATGCCTCTTTCACTGTGAATGATGGGCAAAGAGATCACGACTTCATTCTTCGCTTTACCACATTTTACTAGAGGCCACACCTCATTCACTGGGACCGAGAGGTACAGAGGATATGCCTTTTTCCTAGAGACCACACCTCTTTCACTGGCACAGACAGGTACAACGGACCCTCCTCTTTTACTAGAGGCCACATATCCTTCACTGGGACCGACAGGTATATAGGACACACCTCCTTCACTAGAGGCCACACCTCCTTCACTGGGACTGGCACGCAGAGAGGCTACACTCTTTTCTGGAAATTTGTCTGGAAATTAAACATACAGAGACCACACTTTTTTTTGCTGGGGCTGAGGCTGAAAGCAAGACAGCATGTCATTTTTTAAGTACAGAAATTATCAGTGAGATTTTGTTTTCTTCCATGTGCAGACTGTTGCCAGCCGAAACCACATGCTAAACATCAACGTTTAGTCTGGTTCATAAATTAAATCCCTTGCATTATATTTGTAGGAAATAATGTTAACATTACCCAAGTATTATTATGGGCTATTTATCTGATTAGTAAGACTGAAAGGATTTTTGATCGAGACATGACTCACTGTTACAGAATTTCTTCCTTGTCTCACCCTCTGCTACAAAAAACTTTATTTTGTTATTACTACAAGCCCTGACAGCGACACTGAATTTGATTTCTTCGCATTTTGTGGAACTACGCTTGAGGAAACTTTCAGACAGAAGGGAAATGTTTCATAATGGACACCTCAAGTAGTGAGAAAAGTTCATGAATGACACTCATAGAAAAAAATGTCAAATCTGGAACATTTCTGAGTTCTTCAGTTGTTGTTCTGAAAGAACCCTTAGTTCCTTAGATCCCTGTCAGAAAGGGTTCCAAACTAGAACCTTTTTAAGAGGCTAAAAACCTTTTATACAAAGATCCTTTTTCTAAGAGTGTACATATTTGACAGAAGACAAGGCAATATATCCACAAAATGTGTGTGTGTGTGCGTTTGTGTGTGTAAGAAACCACATTAGAACTGCCAAAAGGTCTGACAGAAAGACAACACAAGAGTAAGACTGATCATTTCATGCTTGCAAATCACAGCAAGAATGAGTCATGTCATTCATGCCCTCCACAGACAAGTTGCGGTTACTGTAAATATGTGCATGTGTGAGGGAGTGTGTGCGTGCATGTGTGTGTGTGTGTGTGTGTGAGGACACTGAGGCAGATGTGGCTCGTCTATGAATTATGGCCTCAGGAGGAAATTTGTCATTGGCCTGAAATACTGCCAGCTTCTATCGTTGCGCTTCAATATGCATTTTTAGAAACGCGGCTGCAGAAAAGAGCAGCAGCATCACATTCTTCGCTTACTGGATTAAGTTTTAATGAATGTCATGACGAGTATTGTGTCATAATCCAGGGTTAAATACTTTTGTCTGTTTGTAAAAAGTGCTGGAGTTATAATTTTTCAATCTACCAATACAATAAAAAAGCAATTACTGTCATTACTAGAAAAGCATTTTTACTTTTAAGAATGTATTTTGTAGTTGCAGATTTAGCTTAGTGGTTTTTATCTTTGCAGGGATAATTGTGATGAAGGAAGAGACACTATAAATCAACAACAAAAAAATCTGTCCAAGGAGTGAAAATCTATTGTTTTTGAGCAGTGAGCAACCTGTGGATGATCTAAGCAGTGCCCAACCCCATTCCTGGAGATCTACCACACAGCCAGAGTTTAGCTCTAGTACACCTGGCTCTAATATTTAGATGCCACTGAAGGATTTGGTTAGATGGATCATGTGTGTTAGATTAAGAGCTAAACTTTGAAAGAAGGCAGGGGCAGTGGTGGTTCAGTGGTTAAGACATTGGCCTGCTGATCAGTAGGTCATGAGTTTGAGCCTCAGCACTAGCAAGCTGCCACTGCTGGGCCCTTCAGCAAGGCCCTTAACCTCAACTGCTCAGTTGTTTAATTGAGATAAATGTAAGTCTCTCTGGAAAAGGGTGTCTGCCAAATGCCGTAAATGGTAGGTCTGGGTGGTCATGCTGTGTATTGTGAGATACCAAGGACTCCACAGGACTCTGTATGTGAGATATCCATTCAGACAATTCACTGACAAAACAGATGTTATAGGAAAATAATCAATGACTGGGTTGTGTGGTCTGATGTAAAGCAGAGTCACTGCTACCACCCTAAGGTTGATTATTTTCCAATAACCATTATTATACCACAGCAATTCAACAATTACATGTTTGTTTATCTATTTATTTTTTTTTACAATTGAAACTCATCCTTTTTCACCATTTATAGATTACATTATACATTATTATACATATTTACACTAAATTCTATGCTTGTTGCTTGGGAAACAAGTTAGTGCCTGTTATAACTTATGTTATAGCAGCTATAACCAGTCATTATCTCACCAGTGAAGTTAATAAGACAAAAAATGCATTTCATTCACCATATTAATGATTATAAGTGCCCTTTGTTAAATAACAACATTCTTTTAACCAGTTTATTATTAGTCATAGATTATGTGGAGCATCAGCGATACAAGTCCATGGGTATGAGCTGTTAATATAGAAACGATAATGTATTAGAAGGAGTGCTTAACATAAATGTGCATGATGTGCAGTGGCATTACCATGAGAGCCGCTGTTACAGAAAATTAATCAACACCTTCTGACCAATCAGAATCCAGAATTGAACAGCGCGGTATACATATATTTAGACATCATGTACGATGAAATAGATTCTTAGTAAAAGGGTTCCTTTGGGGTTCTTTGGATAGTTTCTAAAGGGGATCTACTTGGAAACCTCTTACATAGGATTATACCCTTTATGGTTTTAGATGCTAGATGGAACCTAGAGTGTAGTCTCTGATGTGAATAACGGCACTGGAGTGATATGTGTAATAAAAAGTTAGCTCCCTTTCTGAAAAGCTTATACACGACAGCAGATCTGACACACATTTTTGCATTGAAAGCCTCATTCACTGTAAGCAAATGAGCTTGTGGAATGCAGCTGCCTCCAAAAAGCAAATATGAGCACAGAGAGTGGTGGTGTGTATGTTCTGGGACTGCACTTACTCTCTCGCTCCTAATGGCTGCAGATGTATCATTATATGATGATGATTCCTCTCTGCTTTACATGCCAGAGCTCTTTTCAGACCTGGAAAAGCATTTGATGCAAATTCTGAATGGATTACTCTATTAGTCAGACGAGCGCTAATTACGCCCCCACGGCGCCGAATGCACGATATCCTGTAATGCTCTTCTGCACCAAGGGCTCTTATCACATGAGCATCAGAAATGGAGGACCATGATCAGATTACAATGTTACGCATGATCAGACTGATTCAGAACCAGAAGACATTGTGACTAGAAGATTTCTTGCGTGTGGTTGCTCAGCTCATGCCTAAGCACAAGGAAACAGTTTCGTGATATTACGATGGAAAATATCAATTGCTTTCTTCACAGTTCTGTGCATTTCGGAATGTCTGAAGAAACCAAAGTTTCCCTTGCTACAAGGGAAACACTCTCTAGATGACTCGTCAGTGTCACCGCAGACAGCTAAGCAATCCGAGCAGGATAAGAACAGTGTGAATTCTCTGTAGCATCTCTCGCTAACCCTCTCAATCTTTGCCAAGTCTCAAGTCTAATCTTAACCCCCTGTGCTTTCTAGTCCGCAGAAGAGTACTTATTCCAGAGCAGAATCTAAAACATGTCCTGGAATTCCATCCAAGACTAGATCAAAATTTCCTGAATAGCTTTCTGCGATTGAAACTGAGACATTTCAGTCAAAACCATTCATTCATCTTCAAGAGCTTTATCCTGCTCAAGGTCATGGTGGATCCGGAGCCAATCCCAGGAACACTGGGTTCAACGTGAAGCTACACTCTGAATGGGACAATCGCAGGGCGCCATGCACACACATTCACTCCTGGGCATCATTTTGAGCTGTCAGTACCTGAAGTAACCCCATGTGGACAAGGGAAGAACATGACATGAACACACTGACAGTAACCTGAGCACAGGGTCGAACCCAGGGACCTTGAAATGGCAACACTACCTCCTGCACCACTGCACTGCCTTTAGTCAAAATGTGTATTTGTGTACTTTGAGGGCATAACCCATGTTTTGTAAGTGCGGCATGAAAATCGTAAGCAAATTGAAAGCATGACTATTGTAATATAATTTACATATAAGAGCGGCCTGGCGATGGGGTGGAATCAGGAAAACAGGGTTGATTCCCAGTTTGCTCCCAGTGTAAATGGGATGGGCTTCAGATCTAAACTCTGACAGGGTGTGTACCTGCCTCATGCCCAGTATTCCCGGGATAGGCTCAGGATCAATACCCTGACAGGGTGTGTACCTGCCTCATGCCCAGTATTCCCGGGATAGGCTCAGGATCAATACCCTGACAGGGTGTGTACCTGCCTCATGCCCAGTATTCCCAGGATAGGCTCAGGATCAATACCCTGACAGGGTGTGTACCTGCCTCATGCCCAGTATTCCCGGATCCAATGTGACCTTAACCAGGGAAAAGCAGGCACTGTAGATGAGAACATGAACAACAGATAAGAAGAATGTCTAAATTAAATCAAGTACCTCTATGTGCAAAATGGTTTGCAAAAAGGAACATGGTGCGAAGAGAAAATTCAGAAGCAAAAAATGCAAGATTTAAAAATATTTAAGACTGCTTAACATCTCGACATGGTTTGAGGGAACTAGGTCATGATTTCAGCATGCATCGGTGTGCGTAATGATAATAAGTTTGTGCAAAATAAAAGTAAAATAGTAAATATAGTAAAATATGACATGTATTGCTCGCTTTTTTATTCATTATTAATAGTCTATTGTGTCACGGACGTGGCAAAAAAAATCCGACCAGGAATCTTGATGTGCGCAGGCGGAATCCCTTCTCGGAGAGATTCCCGCCGCTGCGAGGCTGCCGGGGGGCGCGACCGTCACCGACCGGAGGGCGGCGCGTGGGATTTGGGAGGCGGGCGGGGTGGGGTTTGGGGGTGGGGTAGGAGGGTATTTTCCAGGTTTAAATACAGCGCGGTGCGGGAGCTCCGTAAATAGTAGCGTCACACAACGCCGGTAAACACACGGAGAGCCTCACTATGAGAAGCGGCAGAGCGCGTACGGAGTGATTGACGCCTGACGCGCTGCGCGCTACCGAAACGCGTCACAGCCACGCAGCGGATTGGGATGCACAGTTTACACTGATCTCGCTCACAGTTCACAGCTGCACTCGCTTGCTTGCTTGCCCTTTTTTTTTTTTTTTTTTTTTTTTTTTTTTTTTTTTTTTTTTTTTTTTTTTTTAAACTTTGTATTGGAAAGTTTGCGCGCTCCCGTGTCGAGAGGGTGAATGCCCGCGCCTGCGTGCACGCGTCCCGATTCGAGCGCCAACTTCACTCGGCCGGCTTTGGGCAAACGGAGAGGACCCGAGCTCTGCTGCTCCGCTCAGTTCAGCATGAAGTCTGCGGAAGAAGGTGAGTGTGTGTGTGTGTGTGTGTGTGTGTGTGTGTGTGTGTGTATGTGTGTGCGCGCGCGCGCACCGGTGTGCAGCGCTGTGCTCATTGCATGTAACCTGCTGTAGCTCAACCTGATGCACTGTGTTTGTCCATTAAAGAAGAAAAAAATCTACCACTTAATAACCCTAGAATTATTGGAATGGAATTAAAATAAACAGACTTAATAGTGATTTGCACATTTCAACAGGCTAATGATGCAGCTTGTCTTGTACTGGACAATCCAGAAGAATAGAATAGACATAACATTTCTATAATAGACTCCACACTTTGGTAGTGCTTTACAGAAGAACAGAGAAATTCAGAATAAAATAAAATAGAACACACTTTTTTTTAAATGCACATTCATAGTGATGCTTTCAGTAGAATCAATTCTATTGGCTGTAGTATTTTATTGACTGATTAATGGACTCATATCTGAAGTGGAGTTATTTAAATGCAGTGGTGATACAGTAACATAATATGCTCCTGCCAGAAAGTTGATTTGAATGAGAAAACAAATACAGTAGAATCCACATCAAATTTAGAATCAGAGATTCCATAATAATGCTTTTGTAGAATCGCAAATGCTTTGTTATTCATTGATTAATTGACTCATGCCTTGGCAACACTGTACATTCATATTGTCAGGCTAATAAAGGTGTTTTGAGATAAAAAAAAAAATTAGAATAGGCATTCGGTTTGTATCCAATTTTATATTGAGGTTTTAAGTAGAACTGTAAATGAGGTGTTATTCACTGAATGATGCATTCATGTTTTATATAATGAAATGCTTTGGCAATACGGTAATGTTGTCATTCCATTAAAGCTGCTTTAAAAAGGATAGAATTGAACAGAGATGTGAGTTTGTATTAATCTCATGTTGATGCCTTTAATAGAATTCGAAAATGTTTTAAATTATTCTAATTGACTGTTTAATCGTCAGATATCCGAACTGCAAGTTAGTCAAATGCATTATCAATACTGCAACCTAATACTGGTTATGCCAATACGATTACTTTAAAAGAGAACTGAATACAATAAAAAAAGAAAAGAATAGAATAGAAATGCAGTTTGTATTCATTTCACGTTGATGCCTTTAACAGAATTGATTTACTGGTATCGGAAATGCAGTTAGTCAAATGCATTATCAATAATGTAACCTGTCCTTTCAAAGTAACTACGTTGACATGTGTTGTAATGGGACCATTAGTTACTGTGAAATAGAATAGAATAGAATAGAATAGAATAGAATAGAATAGAATAGAATAGAATAGAATAGAGATGCAATTTGTGTTAATTTCCTGCTGATGCCTGTAGTAAAGGTCAAATGCATTATCAATATTGTAACCTAACAGGAGCAGGTCAATATATTTACTCTAAACCAGAATAC